AATCAACCTCTGAGCAGGGGTGGGGGGGTGGGGTGTAAATCAAAGAAGAGGGATTTCAGAAGGGGTAAGAAAGAAGAGACAGTTGTCTATCTAAGGTGGGATGATCCCTATCTTGCCTGCTTTCAGGCATGGGTAGATCCAGGATGTACTAAAGTGGGGTGATGGCACACCATCCCTCAGACTATGGGGCAAGGTGTGGCTGGAACCCTCTGGGCCCACAAAGAACATTGGGAGAAGGGAGAAGATTCAAGCAGAAAAGAAACCTGCCCACCACTGCTGCTGTCCCCAGATGAGTCAGGGGTGGGGGGAGCCCCAGAGTTGAGCAGCCGAATAGGGTGCTGGACTTGGCTGAGGGCAGTGACAGCAGCACACAGGTTCCTTCTTCCACCGCCTGCTCCATGCTGCACACCCCATACGTCCCCCCCCAAGCCAAGGGTAGGCATCTGAAAGAGGAATCTGCATGCTGCTGATCCCAGCCAAGCCCAGCATCTTGCATAACAACTCCGCACAGCCCTTGGCTGGAGCAGGACAGAAGCAACTCTGGGGATACCCCTGTGCCTGCATCACCCAGGGTCAGTGATGGGTGGGCTCCTCCCAGCTAATGGGGGACTTGGGGAGGGCAGGGAGCAGGTGCAGGAAGAGAAAACTAGCCTGCGGTTGCCACTGTCTCCTATTGAACTTGGTACCCCACAGAGCCACAGCCTGTGGCTGGAGTAGGGCAAGAGCAGCTCTAAGACATCCCTGTGCCTAGGCCAGCCAGGGGCAGTAACAGAAGAGGAGCACATCCTCACCACTACAACCTCCCAGCCCTGCCCCTGTTTTCAAGGCACTGAACCATTGGTTATAGTTGTTCCCATAGGCTTCTAATAGTCACAGTCCTCAGGCAAACAAGAGTCTCACATATAGGGTGGTGATCATACAGGACAGTTTGTTTGTCCTCTGTCCTCTATTGATATGAAACCCAGTGCCTTTATGTCCTCTATTTATCTCTTCAAGAGAGGACAACAGAGGACAGAGTAGCAGAAAACTGGAATGTCCTCTATGATGGCCACCCCACAGTCACCTAACTCTAGAGCACTTAAAACTGATAAGGTAGTAGAGAGAGGTAGTCAGACTTGGTCAAAGGCATTCTTCTATCACTACAAAAATATATACACGTTTCCTCAATATTTATTTTAAATGGAGAAAATGGGGGAAAGCAACTTTCACTGGGGAAGTGGTAGAACATTGGGAAATTTTAAAATCATTAAAAAAATTCAAAAGGATATAGCAATTTGTTCTTTTTTTTATCCCCTAGTTCTTTCTTACTTTCAGATAAGCAGATCAGGCATTAACTTTTGGGCAGTACTGGAAATTTCATACTTGGTTTATAATTCTGTCAAACCCCTAGCAAAAGTCATATATTATGTCTTTTTTCCACCTTATATGGAAGTCATATATTATGCCTTTTCTCCACCTTATATGATATAAGGTGGAGACCTTATACCATATCCCCTGACATTTTGCATCAATTGCCCCCTAAAATTTTGAAGTCTCACAGTTTAAGGAATACCCATGCAGGTAATAGCTATGTTAACATCTGTAACCAGGTGAGTATTAGCCAATACATGAAAACACAGCTGTGTCAATCTAGGACATTTTTATGAATATACTGTTCAGTTTTTTCTAATGTTGAATTTTTATATTTTTCAACAGCAGTTGCACAACAGTGGTTTTAGTCACTAATCAATCTTAGCAGTCATTTTGGTATTGATGTACACTGCCTTAGAAAGCATTAGCTGTTATTCTGTAAACAAAGGGAAATCATCTTACAATGTGAGTTGCTAGCACAAATTTCATTTGGTATCATTTTGTATTAGGTTTTATTGTGTTTTGCAACAGTACAGCTGAAATCCACTTAGTGTATTTGTGCTTCTTCCATAAATTGCACAAATAGGGCTTGTATGAACAAATTTGCCAAATTGTAGAAATTAGAGATGAGAAAGAAAACTATTAGGCGATCTTGTTCATTTCCTCTGCCAGTTCAGCATTTTTTCTACTGAAGAGACAAGTACTTTATCTAGTCTAGTTTTAAATAACTCAAGTGATGAGGCCCCTACCTTCTCCCTCAAGAGATGGTTCTGCTATCTAATGGACCATAGGGCACCAACTCCATGGGTACACCAGGGCTCAAGCACCCACTGAAAACTATTAGCAGGTGCTCAGTACCCATCAGCCACAGCCATTTTGTTTGCAGACATTAAAAAAAAATCACGCTTTACCAGAAGAAGTAGCGCAATACTTCAACCCAGCTCTGCAGTGTCTGTAAAGAATTGAACACTTCATCAGGGCTTTTGGCACTTTTACCTAAAGCTGATTCAATCAGCTACTAGAAAGAACTGACAAGAAAGCCCCACTAAAGTGCTTGATCTTTACAGATGCTACAGAGCCAGGCTGAAGTAACACGCTGCCTTTTCTGGGTATGTGCTGGGCTCGGCACAGGAATGTCCCAGGTTTGAAGTGCCAGTTTTGGGGAGGTTTTTTACATCTGCAAGCACCCACTGCCAAAAACCAAAGTTGGCACCTATGTAATGGATGTTAGAAAATATTTACCCCAATACCAGTCTTCCTTTTCCCTTTGCTCTCAGTTTCACTCTGCTGGCACACAGTTTTAACTGATATGAATTCTGTGCGTGTCATAGTTCTCTCTTTCATGTGGTGGTTGAATAATTCATATTTTTGTTGTGATTTGAGGAGTATCAGAAATAAACAGCCAGTTAGTACACAACAACTAATTCATGGAATAGTTATGCTATATATCAGTTTATAGGCTTCTATATTTTCTGGCAAGTCATGGCTGACACCTCTCTTCACATTAAGGAGTGGAAAATGTCAAGTGTGTCTAAAGGGGGATATGCCCTCTTAAGGGTATACACAGCGATCTTCCTGAACATTCAGGAGACTGAGGCAAACTGCTTTGTTCTAGTACTCCTCCTTTTAAACGGATAATTTTAGTGGAGATCCATATTTAAAGATCAGATCCTTTTGATAAGTAAATTAAACACACTTGGCAAAACCCTTGCTTCTGTGAAAGATGGAATGCTTATTAATTGCCACTCACTATCAAATGTTTTAAATTGACATTATAACCCAGATGGGAAATGTTCAATATTAAAAAGGGCAGTTTTAATGTTGTCTTGGCAGCTATACCTCTGAAATCAGATCTTTGTATAAAATATTGATTCACATCCTGACAGTACCTTGTCAATTTAATTACAATTAATTATGCATTAGACAATCCTAGGTACATTTTGAAAGACAAGAAACAAAAACATATGTGAGGAAAGTTTACGTATTTGCACTAATTAGCCAGGTATTACAAAAATGTAACCATACACATTCTAAAAGCAATAACTAAGGAATGAAGTCATACTAGACATACACACACACATGCTTCTGAGATCGCTAAGAACACCTATTTTTGTTATCAGTACCTAAACTGCATCTGCCATGTGTGACTGCACAGCATAACCAACCATTATATATGTTACTGTTTACTTAATATAATAGCCACAGTAAGCAAATGCAGGACAAACTATAGGACTCAATATCATTGTTAATATACATTATATATATTGTGTGTAGCTATCTAAGAAGGCCAGTTCTAGTAGGTGTACACATCAAGGGAGATGGGGAAATGTTTAATTCAATGGTGACATAGATGATGTAAAAGTCAGCTCCATGAAATCTATGGACCAGGGTCACTTAATGTTGTAAAAACAAAATGCTGCTGGACTTGGAAGACACTTACCACAACCAAAACAATATCTCAGATGTACATTGCAAGACTGACCACTAAAGGAAGGCTCAAGAAATTGTCACCTCCCACACCAATACTTTGTGGGGTCTTCCAGCTTTCCAATTCATGCTGTTCAGTTAGAGCGAGTTAAGGCAATGACTCCCTTGTATGGCTAAAGCTCAGGACAGTCCTCTGAGATTTTAATAACCTGGCCAGCACTGAAGCTGGACTATGACAAGAATTAAGTGATGGAAGATGTCTCCTCCTCCTGTCATTATGGTGCCTCCACCACTAATGCTTACCTTTTATCATCCCATCCCAAACCATAGAATAAAGGAGAGGATTCCCCTAAATACAAGCATATTTTTAACTGTTTGTTCTATCTGTTTTGGTGGGTTTTTTTCTTCAAGCCTCATAGCTTTTTTTTGTTTTGGTCTCCTTGGTAGACTTCAGGAATGGAGCTGTCAGCCAAGGAAAAGCACAATGCAGGCAGTTATTCATTTAAATTTGTTTCCTTTGTTGACTGGCATCTAATCCAGCACAAGGAAAAAAGCAACCCCTATTTTACCAGTTAGAAGCCTGAATCTTTTTGTGGTGGCTGATTACCTGCAGCTCCCACTGAAGTCCTCAGGTGCTCAATAGCTCAGAAAAACAGCTCCTAGGTCAATCCTGTTTGCCAGACTCAGTAGATTCTCTTTACGCCCTTTGGAGAGTTAACTAAATGAGGAGGAATGGTTGAGCATGTGAGGCATATTTAGCTTGGAGAAAAGGCAGTTAAGAGGGGGACGTGACAGCAGTCTTCAAGTATCTGAATAACTGCCATAAAAAAGAGGGACAACAACTATTCTCCTTTGCTTTGAAGGCAGGCAGGAAGCAATGGCTCCAAACGAGATTTAGATAAGCTATTGGGAAAAACTTTTGGGGCATGTCCAGATGAGCACACACATGCATTTCCTGGGGGACAAATAGCAGTGGCACATAGGTGTACCACTGCTATTTGTCCCCGGGGAATAGTTGTGCATGCGTGCTCTGTAGTACAGCAAGTTGCCCCAAATGGGGTAGAGGAGGCGGGGGCCAGCACTTGGGCTAGCCCCAGCAGCCTTACCTGGGGTCCTGAGGGCTTCCCGAGGCTGTGGCAGCAGCAATCCAGCTCACAGAGCCTGGCTGGCACCTGGAGCATGGCTCCAGCCAGCTGGGCTCTGGTTTTGGGTGGCACATACTGCCACCACATGTGCTGCCCCACTTTTTTTCAGGCACAGGGTTTTTTGACACCAGGATCTGCTGGTGTAAAAAAAAAAAAACACACCATACTGCAAATTAGCAGTGCAGCAAACACCTGCATGTGTGGCACATACAGTTTGCAGTGCCACAGATGGATCTGCAGTACTGTATACCACACACGTGCACTTATCTGGACATGCCTTTTGAGGGTTACAACACTGAGGCAGTGGAATAAACTCTCTAAGGAAGTTATGGAATTTCCTTCACTGGAGATTTTCAGGAAGAGGCTGGATAAGCTTTAGCAGAGATGCTACAGGAATAGTTTTCCTAAATTCCTTCAAGGAGTTGTACCAGATTCCTCTTTAGGGTACATGTTCACCACTTCCAATCTATGATCACACAGCTTATTTTAAAATTGAACTAACTGGGGTTACTTTAAGATGCATGGTCATAGATTGGGAGTGTCTTGTGCATGCTTTCACTGGTGCCAGGAGCCTGATCTAAGTAACTGGGGGTGGGGGAGGGGCAGGTGGGATCAGGGGAGGGGATAGCGGGTCTGCAGGAGCGGGGTTGGTGGCT